CCTTCTGACGATGGCATGGAAATAAATTGTATTCTTGAAAACTAGGTAAATAAAAATCTAGTCATTCTCCTGCCTTTCCTAAATGAACTGTAGCACTGGGAAACCAAATAATAGATAAAGGGAAGAAGCTTCCTATAAAATTACTACAGCTAATACATGAAAACAAAATGATGCAATATTGCCATTTTGTTATTTACAGTGAATGAATGTATCTAGCCATTGTACACAATGGCAGCTAACATCAAAAAAGGAACAAACTCCAGCCTTGTAGGAGCTGCTTGGAAAGGAGTCCAGCACCAGCTATAATCATGCCAAAAAGATGGACCCTGAGTCTGATCCAGCTGCTAATTTGCAGGCAATGCAGAGGTCAGAGGGCCGTGTTATATTGTACTATGAGGATGCAATTGACAAAATTCAGACTTTGAGAAACTACACGTAAAACAGCCTGAATTCAACAGATAAACTTCAAGGAAGAGAAAAGGATGGAAGGGAGAACCTGTAGACTATTTTTAAAAAGAGGCTTTTGGATTAATAAAAGAGGCCTTTGGCTGGGCACTGTGGCTCACACCAGTAGTTCCAGCACTTTGGGAGACCTAAATGGGAGGATCTTTTGAGGCCAGGAGTTCAAGACCAGCCTGGTCAACATGGTAAAACCCTGTCTCTACAAAAAAATACAAAAATTAGCCAGGTGTGGTGGCACATGCCTGTAGTCCTGGCTACTCTGGAGGCTGAGGTAAGAGGATCACCTGAGCCTGGGGTGTTCAAGGCTGCAGTGAGCCAAGATTGCACCGGTGCACTCCCTCCTGCAAGACAGAGTGAGACCTTGTCTCCTAAAAAACAAAACAAAACACACACACACACACACACACACACACACACACACACAAGAGGCTTTTAAAAAGTGGACATGGCTGGGTGTGGTGGCTCACGCCTGTAATCCCAGCACTTTGGGAGGCCGAGGCAGATGGATCACCTGAGGTCAGGAGTTCAAGACCAGCCTGGCCAACGTGGTGAAACCCCATCTCCACTAAAATACAAAAATTAGCCGGGCATGATGGTGGGTGCCTGTAATCCCAGCTACTGGGGAGGCTGAGACGGGAGAATCTCTTGAACCCGGGAGACGGTGGTTGCAGTGAGCCGAGATCGTGTCACCGCCTGGGCAGTTGAATGAGATTCCATGTCAACAAAAAATAAATAAATAAAAATAAAAAGTGGACACAACTAAACAATAACATCTAGGGATGCACACTCAGATGAGTAAGTCATGAAGAAACGCAAGGAAGTAATTAATAGTCGGATTAGTGATTATTTTGGGGGGAGGGGCTGTGATTGGTATGGAGTACCTGGTGAGGTGGGGAGGGGAACCCTGAGGTGGCTGAAAAAAATTCTGTTTCTTGACCTGGGTGGTGGTTACAGGGTGTTTGCCTTAATATAACTCACTAAGCTACAATTTTTTTTTTTTTTTTTGAGATAGGGTCTCACTTTGTTGCCCGGGGTGGAGTACAGCAGTGTGATCTCAGCTCACTGTAGCCTCAGACCTCCCCAGACTCAAGTAATCCTCCTACTTCAGCCTCCTGAGTAACCGGGGCTACAGGTACATGCCACCATGCCCGGCTAATTTATGTATTTTTCGTAGAGATGGGGTTTCAGGTTTTGCTATGTTGCCCAGGTTGATCTCAAACTCCTGGGCTCAAGCAATCTACTCACCTCGGCTTCTCAAAGTGCTGGGATTACAGGTGTGAGCCACTGCATCTGGCTGCTACAAATTTAATTTGTGTGGTTTTCTGCATCTGTTTTGCTCTATAATATAAAGGTTTTAAAAAATGAAGACAGCAATACCTACTTCACAGTATGTGTGTGTCCATATGAGTGTATACATGTACATGTACATATACATGTATCTAAATGTATGGCTTCTGTTAGCACCAGGTAGATAGGTAGGCGCTCACTAAATATGACTTCCAGGTGAATTTTGTTCAAAACACTGACCTGTGTGATTTCAGCACCGTTACCGACATTGCTAACTTGTGTGGCTAATTAAAAATAGTTCATGCTTCCCAACTGGGGCTGAGACTGGAAAAAGTAAAATAAAAATTCGTTAACGGTTAGTAGGTAATACTGTGTGACAGGCACTGTTTCCAGTGCAACTAATCTAATTGAATCCTCATAACTGTATTATGGTTATTCCCATTTTACAGAGAAGAAAACTGAGGCTTAGAGAGATTCCCTGTGGCCACACAGTAGGTTGGCAAGGCAGCCTGTTTTGTTTTGTATTGTCTTGTTTTGAGGCAGCGTCTCACTCTGTGGCCCAGGCTGGAGCGCAGTGGCACAGTCTTGGCTCACTGCAACCTCTGCCTCCTGGGTTCAGGCGATTCTCCTGCCTCAGCCTCCTGATTAGCTAGGATTACAGGCGCATGCCATCACACCAGGCTAATTTTATTTGTATTTTGAGTAGAGATGGGGTTTAATTGGCCAGGTTGGTCTCAAACTCCTGGCCTCAAGTGATCCACCCGCCTTGACCTCGCAAAGTGCTAGGATTACAGGCATGAGCCACCACACCTGACTAGCAGGTTTGGAACCCAGGCAGTCTGGCTCTCAGCTCTGCCCTCTTATCCACTGTACCATATGTACCATACTGTTTTTCACTTGGTGTCTAGTGCCCTGTTTGCAATAATAGCTCCCCCTTTTGGAGTGCCTGCTAATGTGTGTGCCATCCTTTGACATTCACTACCTGAATCTCAAATCAACCCTGGAAGGTGAAAGTACTTGTTAGTCTGCATTTGGTGGATAGGAAAACTAGAACTCAGAGAGCTGAAAAACTTGCTCAAAGTAACAGAGTAAACAAATGGCAGTAGGTGGTGGGGGAGGAGTTTGAATCGGGGACGGGGAGGGTTCATACTCTGACCCTTGGGATTCTAAAGAACAAAATGTCCTATACTCTTAAACAGATGCTCATCTGATGGGTCTGACCCAGTTTGAGGTCATGGGTTGCCCAACCAGTGGTCCGGAGCCTGGCTTGGCTTGAGAAGTGTCCAGATGCGGGCTGGGGGAAGTCAGAGGCTTGGCAAACACCAGACATGTTTGACCCCAATCAGAGGGTCGTGCAAAGCTTGTGACCCCTGGGCCTGGGGTTCCCTAAGGGGCAAGAGACTCCTTTTTCTCAGTGTGCCAGCCTTGTGCTCACAAACCGCCCAATCAGGTCCTAGAACAGAGCTGGCCACCTCTCGGGACGGGGTAAAGAGATGCCCGTGGGTTGGCTGTGCGGATTTCCCAGAAGTGGGAAGAACCTGGCTGTGTTTTCGTGGTCACACATTGATTTCCCAACCTGAGTCAGCATGGCTGCTTGGAGGTACAGCATGTCCTCTCTGTTCCCAGGGGCCCTGGATCCCAGCCTGGCTGAAGCATTTCCAAAACAGGGCCTGGAATAGTGAGAGAAATGGAAGGGGTGGAGGTCCCACATCCCCTCCATCAGTACCAGCCACCCACCATTGTATTAATAGCACCTAGCATGGACTGAGTTCTTACCAGGTGCCAGGTCCCGTGCTAAGCATGTCATATGTATTCACTTAACTAACCTTACAGAGATGCGATGGAGTAGAGGCTCTTCCATTTGACAAAGGAGTAAACAGACTCAGAGAAGCCACATCACTTCTAAATGGTCCCACGGAGATGGAATTTGCAGGTCTGTGATTGTGGAATCCTGGAGTGTCAGCTCCGCAAATTCACTACTTCACTCAGCCCTCACAACAAACCCCCAGTAAGGTGTTGTCACCCCAGTAAGGATATGAAAAAACGGAAGCTCGGGGTGGTGGACGTGACTTGTAAGATGTTTCTAGAAAGCTCTGCTGTGACAACCAGTAACTGTTTTTTAAGAACCCCAGTCAAAACCCATAGCTGCTAAAATTTGGCCGTGACTACCCAAAACCCCTGTATTTATTATTACCCCTATATCCCCCACATTCTCCTAGGATGGGAAGAGGAGGCAAAGAGTTCTTTGGTGGCCATCTCCTCGGAAGAGTGGAATGGGATCATGAGGGCTCTTTCACTAGAGGGGCTACTATTTGTAGAGATTAATGTGTGGCCATTATGAGCGGGCCCAGTGGTCTCATGTGGGCATGGGCATCTAGAGGCTGAGAGAAACAGGCTGCCTGGCTGAATCGGTGCAGGAGCCACAGTGTGGGTGTGCTAAGGTCAGCCACATTCCCAGGACTTTCAGGGCACAGGCTGCTGGCTGGTGTGTTTCCCATGGACCAGCGTTGGCAGAGAGCACCTACAAGGGGTCCTCTTGGGTCCTGTCCCCTAGAGCCTCCTGGAGGGGCAGAGGTGTGGCAGCAGCAAGAAGCTTGAGTTGGATGTTGAGTTCCTAAGGGCTGATGAATGACTTGCAAGGGACCCCTATGAGGAGAGGTGCATCCGCCAAGGTCAAGAGTGAGAGGGCCCCTGTGACAGTGGCCGTCTCCATGGAGCCCACGACAGAAAGGGGCAGCTTGAAGCCAGCCAGGATGGTTGCAGCTCAAGGGAGACCCTTTCTCCCCCCTTGCTATCTCCAACACCCCCCACTGTACCCCACGTGTAGATGAGGGAAGGAGAGATAGAGAAGGAGCCACCCACACCGCCTCCCTGCAGCAGGCCTGAGAGCGAGGGGAGAAGGTTTAAACCTAAATCAAATTGGGAATTTTGGTTAGAAGCTTCACTGGACATTCTCATTTCTAAATTGAGTATACTTGTGACCTAAAGTGACCATAGAATTACCTGTTTCCTCAGAACGAGCAGAAGAGTAAGGGGGAGATTTCACTCAGTGGCAGGGAAAATGTTTCTCCACCAAATTCATCTTAGAAGGGACACTGGGAGATAAAAATTAAGGTGTGCTTTGATTATGTCACAGGCCAGGTTTCTTCAACATCCTGCTCTCAGTGAGAAGGAGGATTCTCCAAAACAAGTCTAGGAAGTGAATGTTCCAGAATGTTCTAGAACTTGCTTCATTAGGCAGGCAAGAAGCATGCCTCTGGGAACCTCTTGAGCCCTTCATGGGCTAGCACACCAATACCATCCCCCCAGAAGCTTCAGTTGTTGGCTTCTAATGGCTTACTATTTCCATTTCTACTGAGAACTGCCATCTCAGGAATCACCTCACCCTGGAGTTTATTCCTCTCACCCACAGGGTGGCTGGCAGCCAACAGCTGACTCGTACAGAGGTACACAAAGCCAGCCTTTTTGCTAGACTTTACCTGAGACCACATCTTTGCTTGTTTCCCTCCCTGTTCTTGCTTGCCTTCATCCCTTACAGGTTCTTTCCTTTATAAATCACACAGTACCTAATCTTTGCCTCAGGCTCTGTGTCTGAGGAGCTGAAGATGATTCTGGGCATCAGGAGGTGATTTTGTGACTAGGCTATTTCACTAGCTCTGAGCTAGGTAATCCATTAGAGAAACTTCTAGATCCTAAATCAAACTACGTAGATTCAATTCACAGTACCATTACTTCACTGCTGTGTGACCTTGGCCAATGACTGGTTACTACATCCCAGTTTTCTCATCTGTGATACAGAAGGCAAACACTGACCCACCTCACAGGGCTTTGCAAGGATTCAACATACAAAAGTACCGAGGATAGTGCCTGGCACACTCGATGGTGCTATTGTTATTCCTCCAGGCTAACAGCACTGACTAAGTGCAAAGGAAGTGGCTTTTTGCCGTCTCGTTGAGGATGCTGTATCCTGGGGTAAGTGGCCAGATCACAGGACGGCTGTGGTTCAATTGTAATAAAATAATCTCCCTTGGCTGGGCATGGTGGCTCACACCTGTAATCCAGCACTTTGGGAGGTCGAAGCAGGTGGATCACCTGACGTCGGGAGTTCGAAACCAGCCTGGCTAACATGGTGAAACCTAGTCTCCGCTAAAAATACAAAAATTAGCCAGGCGTGGTGGTGTGTGCCTGTAATCCCAGCTACTCGAGAGGCTGAGGCAGGAGAATCACTTGAACCTGGGAGGCAGAGGTTGCAGTGAGCTGACATTGTAACACTGCACGAGACTCCATCTCAAAACCAACAACAACAACAGCAACAACCCACCCCTTATGGAACCCTTACTATGTCCCAGTCCCTGTTCTACGTGCTGCATATGTGCTAGTTCACTCTGTCTTCACTATCTTTCAAAGCTGATATAATTATCTCCTTTTTTTTTTTTTTTTGAGACGGAGTCTTGCTCTGTCGCCAGGCTGGAGTACAGTGGCACGATGTTGGCTCACTGCAACCTCCGCCTCCCGGGTTCATGCTATTCTCCTGCTTCAGCCTCCTGAGTAGCTGGGACTACAGGTATGCGCCACCATGCCCAGCTAATTTTTGTATTTTTAGTAGAGATGGGGTTTCACCATGTTGTCCAGGCTGGTCTCAAACTCCTGACCTCAAGTGATCTGCCTGCCTCGGCCTCCTAAAGTGCTGGGATTACAGGCATGAGCCACCGCACCTGGCCAATTATCTCCATTTTACACATGAAAAAACTGAGGCCCGGACAGTCTAAAAAACGAGCTATTAGATCCACAGGTTAAAAAAAAATGAGTGCATCTAAAATGATTACAGTTTAAAAAGCCAGGCCGGGAAGTAGTTTGCAGTTTCTTAAAAAGTTAAACATACGCTTATGTGACGAGCAGTTGTATTCCTGGGTAATGAAAGCATTTGTCCACTCAAAGACATGTACATGAATGTTCATAGCAGTTTTATTTGTAATAGTCAAAAACTGGAGGAAACAATAACATGCCCAGGGACATGGATAAAGAAACTGTGGCATCTGTATCTTTCTTTGTTGTTTGTTGGAGACAAAGTGGAGTGCAGTGGTGCAATCACGGCTCACTGCAGCTCGACTTCAGGGCTCAAGTGATTCTCCCACCTCAACCTCCTGAGTAGCTGAGACTATAGACAGGCACACAGCACCATGCCTGGCTAATTTTTTGGTGTTTAGTAGCGACAGGGTTTCGCTATGTGGCCCAGGCTGGTCTCAAACTCCTGGGCTCAAGTGATCTGCTCGTCTCAGCCTCCCAAAGTGTTGGGATTACAGGTGTGAGCCACCGTGCTTCACCTGTGAGACCTATTAGGTTGGTGCAAAAGTAATTGCGGTTTTGTCATTAAAAGTAATGGCAAAATGGCTGGGCATGGTGGCTCATGCCTGTAATCCCAGCACTTTGAGAGGCTGAGGCAGGCGGATTTCTTGAGGCCAGGAGTTCAAGACCAGCCTGGCCAACATGGTGAAACCCTGTCTCTACTAAAAATACAAAAATTAGCCGAGCATGGTGGTGCATGCCTGTAGTCCCAGCTACTTAGGAGGCTGAGGCAGGAGAATCGCTTGAACCTGGATGCAGAGGTTGCAGTGAGCTGAGATTGCACCACTGCACTCCAGCATGGGCAACAGAGCAAGAGCCTGTCTCAAAAAAAAAAAAAAAAGATGGCAGTCAAAACCACAATTACTTTTGCACCAATCTGATATATGTGCATCTACATCTCAATCCTACTTAGCAATAAAAAAAGACAAATTATTGATATGTGCAATAGCATGGATAAATGACAAAATAATTATGCTGAATGAGAGAAGTCAGACAGAAAGAGTACATATTGGCCAGGTGCAGCGGCTCATGCCTATAATCCCAGCACTTTGGGAGGCCGAGGTGGGTGGATTATCTGAGCTCAGGAGTTCGAGACCAGCCTGACCAACATGGTGAAACCTCGTCTCTACTAAACACACACACACACACACAAGAAAATTATCCAGGTATGGTAGCACACGCCTGTGATGCCAGCTACTAGTGAGGCTGAGGCAGGAGAATTGCTTGAACACCCGCAGGGGCAGAGGTTTCAGTGAGCCAAGTTTTCGCCACTGCACTCCCAGCCTGAGCAACAGAGAGAGGCTCTGTATAAAAAAAAAAAAATTAATAAAGAGTACATATAGCATGATTTCATTTCTATAAAATCCCAGAAAATGTAAAGGCATCTATAGTGAAAGAAAGCAACCTATAGTGATGATGGTTACCTGGAAATGGGGTGGTGGGATGAATAGGGGATGACTTATAAACCAGCATGAGGTAGCTTTTGGAAGCAATTGAAACACTTGGAATCTTGATTGTGGTGATGGTTCCTTGGGTATGTACATATGTTGAAACTCATCAAATGATTCAGTTTCAGTATGTATTGAACATCAATTATATCTCAACAATGCTGTTTATTTATTTATTTATTTATTTTATTTTTGAGACTGAGTCTCGCTTTGTCACCCAGGCTGAAATGCAGTGGCATGTTCTTGGCTCACTGCAACCTCCACCTTCTGGGTTTAAACAATTCTCCTGTCTCAGCCTCCCGAGTAGCTGGGATTACGGGCGTGCACCACCACGCCCAGCTAATTTTTGTATTTTTAGTGGAGATGGGGTTTCACTATGTTGGCCAGTCTGGTCTCGAACTCCTGACCTCAGGTGATCCACCTGCCTTGGCCTCCCAAAGTGTTGGAATTATAGGCGCAAACCACTGTAGGTCTGGCGATAATGCTGATTTTTTTTTTTTTTTTTAGCTAGAGTGGAACAATGAGGATTTGAATCCACGTATGTCTCACTGGACATATGCTCAGGAACTGGTAAGTTATAAAAAGACCTCCTTTATCGGCTGGAGACATAGAATTAGTCCAAATGGTGTCACCTCCAGGAAGCCTTACTGTCATTTCCATAGAGGACAATGGCCTGGGCCCACACCACCCTCCTGCCTGTCTTCAGCCTTTGTCAGTGGATCCTTTCCCCACTTAGAAGACTCCCCTTGCATCCTCCTCCATGTTGTCCTCCAAATGTGCTGGCCGAGAGCCCAGCGCCTGAATCAGAGGGACCTGGGTTTGAATCCCACCTCTGCCATTAAACACCAGCTGTCTGACCTCAACTGTGTTCCTTTGCTTCTCTGGGCTTCAGATTCTCCATCTGAATAATAATAGAAGCTACCTTGGGATTGCCTCAAGGATCAAATGCGAGAGAGTTCACCTTAAACAACGAGTGGAGGGCCTGGTGTGTAATAAAGCACTCAATAAATGTTAACTATTATTGATCTTCACCTGGGCAGTGGCTGCTGACTGTTTAAGTTTCTCAGCCTTTGAATCAGGTACTTCCGACCCAGCTCTATTTATTGACATGGAAAGATGCCCAAAGTGTACTGCTGAAGGGAAAAAAGCAGGCTACAAAAGAATATATTCCTCCCAGGTCATTTTAAAGATCAAAGCTAACCATGGACATCTAGCGCCTAGTAGGGTACCTGGGACACAGGAAGCCGTCACTGAAAGCTAGCTGTGACTATAGAATATAATACCATAGTAATACAAAAGCATTTTTGTAGTCCGTATGATGCCACCTTCAAATATTATGTGAGCTCCTGTGAAACGAGATGATATTTGCAATGTGCTTGCATCAAAGGGAGGTAGAGCTGCGTATTCCCTTCTGCCTTCTTTCTGACACGTTTCAGAGAGTGATCATGGGCAGGGCTTGAGTTGACCTTGGGACCCATTGATCTGATGTGAATTTTGCTACTTTTTTTTTTTTTTTTTTTTTGAGAGACCGGAGAGTGCAGTGGCTGTTCACAGGCACGATCCCAGCACTGATCAGCGCGGGAGATTTGACCTGCTCTGTTTCCAGCCTGGGCCAGTTCACCTCTCCTTAGGCAACCTGATGTTTCTTTGCTCCCAGGAGGTCATGTTTTGGTCCTTTTTTGTGTGGCACTGGAGTGAAAGAAAAGAAAAGCATTGCCCTTTGGTGTTGAGACTACAAACTTGGGTTTAGGGTGCTCTTTGTAGTAACTCAGGTACTATAACACATTAAACACTCGGGGGCGCTCCAATCTGTTGGCAATAGAGATAAATACAAAAAGCCGTGATAATAACGATGCTATATGAATACTGCTGTTACATTTAACAATGCCGTTTACATTGAACACTGAGCTCTTACTATGAGAGCCTAAAATAGAGCAAGAGAGTCACAAACTTTATCACCTTCTAACCTTGCAAACATCCCATTAGAGAATATTATCAAAGATTTTCTAATAGGGCATATCACTCTGTGGGATTTAAAAAATTTGTGTATTACATATATACATATGTACATATATATATACATATATACATATATATATACATATACATATACATATACACATAATTTTTTTTGAGACAGGGTCTCACTCTGTCGCCCAGGCTGGAGTGTAGTGGCACAATCGCAGCTCACAGTAGCCTAGATCTCCTGGGCTCAAGCGATCCTCCTGCCTCAGCCTTCCAAGAAGCTGGGATTACAGGTGTGCACAACTATACCTGGCTAATTTTTTAATTTTTCTGTAGAGACAGGGTCTTGCCATGTTGCCCAAGCTGGTCTTTGACCTCCTGAAGTACTAGGATTATAGACATGAGCCACTGCAACTGGCCTAAAAATATATTTTTTTAATGGAGTTGTAATTCACAAGTGTTGTAAAAGGTAAAAACATTAAGTGTACAGCTTGGTGAATTGTTACATGTGTATACACACAGGTAATCTCCATCCGGATCAAGATGTGAAGCTTTTCTAATATCCTTTCTACTCACTCCTACTCCCACCCAAGGCAACCATGCTCCTAATTCTATTACCATTTATTCGTTTTGCTTATTTCTGAACTTCACGTAAATGGAATCATACATATGCAAACTTTAGGGTTGCCATAAAAATCCAGGATGTCATTTTTCTTTTTTTTGAGATGGAGTCTTGCCCTGTCACCCAGGCTGGAGTGCAGTGACACGATCTCAGCTCACTGCAATCTCCATCTCCCGGGTTCAAGCAATTCTCCTGTCTCAGCGTCCTGAGTTGCTGGGATTAGAGGTGCATGCCAGCACGCCTGGCTAATTTTTTTGTGTGTGTTTAGTAGAGACAAGGTTTCACCATGTTGGCCAGGCTGTCTCAAACTCCTGACCTCATGATCCGCCCACCTTGGCCTCCCAAAGTGCTGGGATTACAGGCATGAGCCACCGCACCTGGCCTCAATGTGCTCTCTTAATCACATGGTATAGTCGTCGTCTCCTCCTCCTCCTCCTCCTCTTCCTCCTCCTCCTCCTCCTCCTCCTTCTTTTTCTTCTTCTTCTTCCTTCTTCTTCTTCTTCTCTCTTTCCTTCTTCCTTCTTTCTCCTTCTCCTCCTCCTCCTCCTCCTCCTCCTTTCTTCTTCTTCCTTCTCCTCCCTTTTCTTCTTCTTCTTCTTCTTCTTCTTCTTCTCTTCTTTCTCTTCTCTTCTTTCTTCTTCTTCTTCTTCTTCTTCTTCTTCTTCTTCTTCTTCTTCTTCTCTTTCTTCTTCTCTTCTCTTCTTCTTCTTCAGATAGGGTCTTGCTATATTGCCCAAGCTAGTCTCAAACTCTTGAGCTCAACTGATCCACCTGCCTCAACCTTCCAAAGTGTTGGAATTACAGATATGAGCCGTAGTTCCCAGCCCATGAGCCACTCAATTGCTGTATAATGTTCTATCGTACAAATGTACCACCATGTATTTATTCCTTCTACTGTCGGTGGCCAAGGGTGGGTTATCTTAGAAAAGCAGTGTAGAGTGGTGGTAAGTGGGTACACTGTGGTATCAGAGGCCTGGGGAATTTGTCTCTTAGCTCCACCTTTTACTTGTGACCTTAGCCAAGTTACTTAATCTCCTTGTGCCTCAGCTAATTCAACATTAATATGGACTAAGAATAGTACCTCAAATGCTGTTGTATGGTTTAAAGGAGATATTCCATATAAACTACTTCAAATTGGTCCCAGCACAGAGTTAACTCAGTACATGTTATCTATGTCATACCCGTTAAACCTAGAAGACTGAATTCAGAGGCTTGACAAGCCTTGCTCAAAGTCACACACCCAGTATGTGACAGATTCCTCTGTCATGGATATTGACTAAATTAGAGTCATTCATTCAACACTTTTTTGCACATTTATTATGTGCCAAGCACTCTTTTAGGACTGAAAACAGCCAGAAAGTTTCTACCAATATGAAATGTACATTCTTTTTATTTTTTTGAGATAGAGTCTCACTCTGTTGCCCAGGCTGCAGTGCAGTGGCGTAATCTTGGCTCACTGCAACCTCTACTTCCCGGGCTCAAGCGATCCTCCCAACTCAGCCTCCCAAGTAGTTGGGACTACAGCTACATGTTGCAACACCTTAGCGAGGTCTCACTAAGTTGCCCAGGCTGGTCTCAAATGCCTGTGCTCACATGATCCTTCTGCCTCGGCCTCCCGAAGTGCTGGGATTACAGGTGTGAGCCACTGTCTCCAGCCTAAATCAAATTCTTACTTATAGAAAGAAGCTTATAGACATGGCAAGGTGCCTGGAATATCTTGTTTAGTGTGTATATGTTTATGTGTGTATATATATGTATATATATGTGTGTATATGTGTGTGTGTGTGTGTGTGTGTGATATAAATCAGGTCCTAAGACCATAAGCAGGTGTGGTATGTCTGCATGTAGCACCGTCTGGGGATACACTGAACAACCCTTTAAGTAGCACTTATTCTGTGCTGGGTGCTGTGCTAAGCACTCCACAAATGGTTAGCTTGTCCATGCTCCTAACATTTAATACACTATGTCTGACAGGTGCTGCCATTATACAGTTTTGCAAGTAAAGAAACAGGCAGAGGAGAGGCTACACTCTAGCATGGTTAGGTTACAAGCCAGCACATGGTCCCGGGCACTTTGGTCTGAGTCTGTGCTCTTGACTGCTTAGCCCTGCTACCTCTGCTAAGAGTGTTTTTCTCTGGGTAGTAAAATTTCCACGTTTTGAACTTAGTTATTTGTACTTCTCTTTATTGGTTGAGCTTTTGTGATAAGTAGGTTCCGTTTTCATTAAAAAAAAATTACTAGAGTTCTAATATGGATTTTTTATGTCTTTAAGAATTAACTGTAGGGAACGCCTGCAGGGAAGGCTAGAATCCTAAGAGGGAGTCATTTTGCCAAAGGGACAAGCCACTCCGGTCTTTTTTTGTGGCAGTGAGACTACTGTCCTTGGTGTTGAGGACCCAGGGACCAGCCCTGACTTCCTCCCACCCTAGGACCCCCTGTGATCCTGGGCAAGTCCCTGGTGTCCCTGTCACTACCTTCCACCAGCGAGGCACCTGGCATGGAGTAGCCCTTAATAAATATCCGTTGGATAGAGGAAGAATGAACTGCTGTCTCCTCTGGGCCTTGCTCCACCTCCTCCACCACCAAAATCTGCTCCCTGCCTATCCTTGGGGCCTTGAGAATTAACAAATGAATAAAGTCACTGTAAAGTGTCCATTATTTACAAGTTTTTACATTTATTTATTTATTTATTTATTTTGAGACAGAGTCTCACTCTGTGGCCCAGGCTGGAGTGCAATGGCATGATCTTGGTTCACTTCAATCTCCGCCTCCCAAGTTCAAGCAATTCTCCTGCCTCAGCCTCCTGAGTAGCTGGGATTACAGGCGCCCACCACCATGCCCAGCTAATTTTTGTATTTTTAGTAGAGACAGGGTTTCACCATGTCGGCCAGGCTGGTCTCGAACCCTTGACCTCAAGCGATCTGCTCACCTTGGCCTCCCAAAGTGCTGGGATTACAGGTGTGAGCCACCACACCCAGCCTTGTTTGCAGGTTTTTAGAAAGGCAAACAGCAAGTGACATCCGACCCAACCAGATGGATAATGAATGGTGGCCCGTCAAGCTAGGGGAATGTCCTTCCAAATGTCCCTGAAATCACTGTGCAGGCCACTTCGGAGACAGGCCCAGGCCTCCCTGCGGCAAGGGCTGCTGGGAGTTTCCTGCCTGTGACCACCCCCACCTCGTGACCCGGCTCCTATCACCCCAGCCTTAGAAAGGCTGGGCCGCGGGGCCATAAATGCCTGTTATCATCAGTCTGTATCTCTAGAGCCGGGCTGTTTACCAGCAGCCCTGCAATTATTTTTATTACATACAAGTCCTATAATTAATTTTTATCTCTGTTTTCTCACAGCCACCTTGCAAGGAGGGCTAGTTTTGCTCTCTTTTGGTTTGCAGTTGGGGGAACTGGAACCCAGGCCTTGAAGGGGTTTCATGGAATT